CATAAAAAAAATAGTTTAATATCGCTCAACAACAACTACCAGTAAGTTAATGAAAGCTTATAAAATTTATGACACTTACTGTGTTCAGCATATATCAATAAAGTCAAATGTCTATTACTAAAGGAAGCCATGCCAATGAACTATGTAATGTCATGAAAATAAGTCCATATTTAGTTATCGTCAGAGTCACTTTCCAGTTTTAAAGGCTTCAGACGTTTCCATCTTACTGCTACGGGCCTTGACGGATTTGTGGCAAGCATCAGAGACTGATTTACTATATTGATGTGAATGGAGAATTATCACCTTGAACAGCTCCACTGAACAATGCCATAGACTGCTTACCGGTATTCTGGGAGTCAGAGGACGATGGATGGGCTGATTGAGATGAGGACAAAGCTGAGGTACCAGCCGCCACACTGCTTAGCACTTTTGACATAATTATGCATCTGGGCCTGGTTGTTCAAAGCCCAATTAAGCTGACCCAGGATTAGCGAGAAGTTTGATTTCAGTTTTGTAACTTTTTGGTGAGGTGTTCTGTTTAAATTGTTTGCCCTTCAGTTTTGAGCTGTAGTGATCTCAAACTACACCAAATATATGAAGTGAAAAACATTTTTCAACAACAAAAAATAAAACTTCAGTTAACGTTTAATCCTGGGTTAATGTTAACCGGCTTTCGAACAACCTGGCCCTGTTGTTTCGTTGAAACAGTGCTGTAGTTTTCTATGCTCTTCAAATTCTTATGACCAGATAGGTGTGCAAATATTTGTGTGGGTGGAATGTCATGTTCACTTAATATCTGGATCACTGTCTTTCTGCTGCTGTGATTTCGAACCCTGTTGTTTTCAGTCTTTTCAATTCCTGCCTTCTGAACCATTGTCTTCATTAAACTGTTGAGTTTGTTAATGCCAACAGTGCCAGACTTGAACCAGCCTTTTTGTTGCGAGCGAGTCTGCCTAAAGCATCGTCTTGATTAATTTCCCAAGGTCTCTTCCTGGCAAAATATTTGTAAATTGCATGCAACAGGATCTCTTTCATGTCCGTTGGTAGCAAACATTTTTGGTGGTACTGCACTGACATCGCTGTAGTCTGATCCAGTTCTAGTTTTCGTCGTTCTTTCACCAAACTCCAAGTACTCCCCTGCGCTTGCCGTTTTGTGTAGCTTTACATCTCCCCAGCACATATCATGATGTTCTTTGCACCCATGGAGTCCAAAGTGTAGAGTGTTGTTTAGCCAGAGCATGTTTAAAAGTGCCTTAGGACTACACATACCGAGCAAACCCTTGTTGTACAATACCTTCAACTCTTCACAGTGTCTTTGCTTGTCAAAGCTAACAATGGAATGGGTTTATTCCCTTTTCCTTGCTTCTTTAGCCATTCTCAGAGACCAAGTCATTGATTATGCTGGTAGAATAGCTCTTTTTCTGTCGTTCGAAGCTGGCAATTAAACTTCAAAGTGAAGTTGGCTCGTACTCTGTTCTATCAATCTTTAGTGTGGATGGAGATGATAAATTGGCTAATGTGTTCATTCAGCTCAACGGCTTATTTAATAAATATCTTCAATTTTCCTGTCTTTGTCCTTCATTTTCAAAAATCTTTCAAGCAATCTTACAAAAAAAAACAAAAAAACAAAAAAAAAAACAGCTCTTGGCTGATGTTCTCTTCAGTACATTCATTCATCATTAGTGAAATTTCGTTGTTTGTGTTGCTGATTGGACGAACAATATTTTTCACCGTGAAATTTTGTCCTTCGTGCTCCCGATTGGCTACATTTGGAATCAGTAGGAGTTTTATTCACTATCATAGTGAATCATGAGGATTTTTGTGGGTAAATCTCAGTACCTATGAAATAAAACTATATATGTAAATTTATCTCTTCATGGTGATCAGAGATGCTTCCTTATTAAGGACATTGAAAGAGAACTCAGCAATGTCATCTTTCATCAGTGCACTAAGCAGCAGGTTTTATCTTCACCTGTTCAAAGACTGTCAAGCAGAAGACATGGTTTCTTTCTTGATTGGTTTTAAGCCAGTCCTTTAAGCTCTCTTGCTGACACAGCTGCATTTGTATAAACAGGTACAATGGAGCTGACAGCTTATCAGCATTGCAAGACTTATTCTGGCAGTTGTGTTTTTCTCCTACAACAATAAAATTCTGAATTAATTTTTATCAAAAATTTTGGTTGCTGCTATTATAAAGCCTAATCTGCATAAATTTCATTATAAAAAGAAACATGTCCCACATAATTAAGCAAACATTTGACACTCTTATTTTGATGGCCCTAATTTCTCCCGCAAATTGCTACATTTGGAGAGAATAAATCAACAACAACAACCGCCTGAACAAAAAGAAATTGGTAAAAATGTTCCAAAGTTAACGTACTTGATAGTAAGGAGTGATGTGAAGATGTGAGACACAGTTCCTCTGATGAGTCAGTTTCCCTAGACATGTCAGAGTCTTCTGTGTTTGTAGATGAGGACAAAGATCCAACACAGCTGACACTGGCATCCTAATAACAAAACAAAAGAACATTAACACTGCTTACTGAAGTTTCTCAAACCAAACTAAATTATGGGTGACTTGAAGAAATGCATGTTCATCTCATTTCCAAGTGAACCACTTTCACACATGTAATCAAGACAAACAAAGACAATGTTGAGCACCTGACTACCTTATTACAAGAAAGTTTTGTGACATTAATTTTGCAAATTTCTCGATTTAAAAAAATGACGTAAATAGTTAGTGTCATGAACATAACATGACGTGAAAATTAAGTTACTCAGATTAGTTACTGTTCAAATAATTATAGTCCAGCCATTGCATTTTTGTTAATTTTGATGTTATTGTACCATTGATAAAAATCGGACATGTTTAAGTAATACTGCTAAGGAAATAAATCATGTGTTACTTGAAAATGCAAAATCACGGAATTTAAGTGTTACAAAATATGTGCACCTCAAAATCGCAAAATACATGTAAACATGTAACAAAAATTTCATGTAATAAGGTAGTTTTTACACAACCAGCGTGAGAGAACACTTTATGAAATATTATTATTAATAACTATTATAATCATAATTATAGTACCACTTTGTTTAGTCAACACTATGCACTTACTGGTCCCAAGGGAAACAGATTTGTTTTCCTGAGAATCTCCTAGAGAAAACAAAACTAACTGTTCCCCAAGAAACCAACAATTACAGTACTTATAGAAACTGTCCAGACTGAGTGAAGTACTATAATTCAGGGAGAAATCACAGAAGTAAATTTAAAATTGGGCAAGTGCAAAGCACTTGCCTGCCAGGTGACATTTAGATTATGCCATTACCACCTGACCATAAATTAAGACTGTACAATAGATTCAACTAAATTCCAGCTATATAACAATATTGTATGTATTGACTTAAATACGGGCATAATTGTTTGGTGTTGCAGAGACCTTGTTATTGGATTTTATAGAGTTGTGACAGTGTTGTTCAAAAAGTTCTCACTATTCAAGGGAGAAAATCTTGTCTACATTTACTGGAAGTGTACAATGTAGGATAAGTCTAAAGCATTAGCACAAAGTGTGCTTCAAAATCTTGCCTTAATATCACTTCTATAACACTGCCACCTTGTTAAATACAGTTAAATCCCTCCGATACGTTAGCCTAGCCACAGACTGTAAAGGTAAAAAGGTAAAGTCTGCATACCAGCCAAGTGGTCTATCAGGCTGGAGCTTATC